CTTTGATTTTGCTGGTTTCCCGTCTGCCCCTTGGATTCTGGCCCCCATCTCTTATTTGGCCACCATAGTAAAAAAAGAGAGCTTAAGTTCACCGTCCCTGTCTCCAGGATCGGAAACACAGGTTGGTGAGATACTAGGTTGCAATCTCTCTCAATCGGCCAACGTGATCGCCGCAGTGTTGTTAGGCCTCCATTGATGCCGCTACAGCGGATGCGATACTCTTGTCGTCAATTTGCCAGATGATCTACCCTTCCACCCCAAATCACAATCTGGAACCGAGAAGCGCAACCATTCGTATCAAGGTCATGCGGTATGGACTGCCTTGGCAAATCTAGATGAAATTCTAGATTTTCTCAGCTTTCAAGACATATTTATGTGAATGATGATTTTGGATTGTGTTGTGAGGCCCCTCTAGTTTTTGACGATGCACCTGTATTAGACTGGCAAAACTAGGTTTGATGTATTTTTTGATTTTGTGAGGCCCCTCTAGTTTTTGATGATGCACTTGTATTAGACTAGCAAAACTAGGTTTGATGTATTTTTTAATTTTTGTTGTTTTCAAATCCATCAAAAGAAGAAAAGTACTCAAAAAAACAAAAGAAGAAGAGTGCTTAAAAGAGAAAACGTACCAATAGAAAAAGAGAACGAACATAAAGAGTTAATTGGATTTTTGTTCACAAGCAGCCTGCTAGTGAACTCATCAAGCCTACTGCCAAGGACAAGACCAGTGGACTGCCAACACTCAAAACTCAACCCCGCTCCGCTAGTCAATCAAAGTTAACCAACACAATTTAATCTACAACTTTCTCTCTGGAAGCAAAGTCAAAATCACAGCTTTACTTTTGATGGGACCCACAGTAAATCTGAAATAGGTAAAAGTAAAATGGCCAAGAAAAAATAAACTGCTACACATTAAAAACAAAAATATGGCCTTTACATATTTTTCATGGACTTGGAATTATTGGAAAGCAAGAAATTGCCTAAATCATTTAAATGGGACCCACAAACAGTAGATGTATTTATGAGTGACTAAAGCAATTGTCTACAAATTAAAAGGAAAATACGATGAAGGATTTTGTATATCCAGTTATCCAACCCATACTATTCGAAATACTTCATTACAATGTATAGGAAGTATAAATACAAAAAGGTTGCAGGCATATGAAGACAAAAGAAGTCCATTCTCTTCAATAGTCAAAGCAAGTGGATCAATCAATGATGAATATTGAATCTCCTCAGTCAACGGGAGATATTCAACAACAAATTGTTTATAAAATACAGATAAACTGTGAAGCAGAAGAAGCAATTGAGCTAGAGCAATCAACACAAGATTATACGAAGATCAACAAAGAGAAAGTGCTAATATATCACTTCACTCTAAGCTCACTCACACTTATTATGATCTTAGATTAGTGCATTCAAAGATATATTTTTAGAGCTTAATCATAGTGGCCGGGGAGGTTTAAATCACTTTGTAATCGACAAACTATAAATCTTTGGAGGGTATCCAAAGTGTGGGTAGAATAGGACTGAGTAGCTTCTGAAACAGTTGAGTTCAATGGTGAAACACCTAAGGATAGAGTAGCTTGGAGTGGTGTTTTAACTTCTTGTGAAAACCTGGAGATCCAGGCCTGTGATCAAGACTAGATTGGACACTAAGTGTATTGGGATGAATAACTTAGTGGAAATCCATCTGAAAGAGAATGAGACTGGATGTAGGAGGATTGCACCACCTCTGAACCAGGATAACTCACTGTGCCATTTACTTTCTAAGTTCACCAAACACACACCAATTGTCCATCATCCTACAAATCTTATTTTTCAACAAACAACTTTATCAAAGATATCTAAACTGCGCTAATACAAACCCAGTTTGTATACCCAGCTAAGGTGAACATAAGTTTGTCAAAAGAGTTCTCATCAAAGCAAACTAATTCATAAAGAGTTTCTTACATTTCTTTTGAACTCCATATACCCTTTTCAGAAGTTTACTATTTCAAACAACAAAGAGTTCAAGTTCTTTACTCAGCAAATGCCTCAACTTTACACTAGTAGCAGTCTGCCACTCATTGCACTGTTAAGTTGTCGTCCTGCTAACTCTGCATCCTTTGTGAGAATAGATGTTTCCTTCATCTTTCCACAAACGTTGTAAGAACTCTTAACATATCTAACTTCACAAAAAAAATCTTGGAAACACCCCATGGTCAACTTACTATAAATAGAAAGTCATTTTTTTCTAAACCGTTCTAAAAGAGGTCAAGACTTCCACCGTGTATTCTATAATCTCTCAAAAGGTTTAGAATCAAACTCTAGAGGAGGGTAAGGCTTTATAAACCAAAAAGTTTTAAAAATCTATTCCCCCCATCTAGACTTTTACCTCACCAGGGACCATCATATGTTTTTGAAGAGATGCTTAGTAGTTGGCTATACGCTATGCATTGTTTTTTTGACAATGGAAAACATAAAATTGATCAGCAATAATTGTGAATCTGACACCATCCACATTGAAGAATAAGAGATCGTTACGAAGTATATGACGGGATTACACGCAATTATGGTCAGTAGGGAATAAACAAATATATGACACCTATCGGATCAACAATTAATTACCTTGGTCCACATAAGGATGACAGTGTTTGGCAGATTCGAACCACGAACTGAGCATATAATATGTAATTCATATACAACTTTAGTTATTACTCCCTAAGATACATAGGGGTGTGTGGAACTGATTCTGCTTCTGCTTCTTTTTTAAAGCAAAAACAAGATCAGAATCAGTTTTTAGAAGCTGGTCTCCCCCAGCTTCTAAAAAACTGATTCTAGGAGTAAATTAGAGCACCATAATCACTTCTTCACTTTCACCTAAACACTCCAACTTCTGTTTCTGCTACCTGAAAGAGCAGAAGCAGTTTTGAGAATCAAATTCAAACACCCCATGATACATTATGAGTATTATTCTAAGGTTTTTATTCTATTTGAGATCTTATATGGACTCGCTCGATAAATAAGGTAAATCTAGTGTGAAAAGAGTCTGCATTTTCTACCATGGCACTTCCATTTTCCATTTATGAGTTTGATAGAGATATCCTATTTGTTTTTTGATAAATAGAGATATCCTATTATTCACTATTCATAGTGAGAAAAATCAGCAGCTGGAGCCATAGGTATCTCTCTAGAGCGGGGCGGGAAATACTTATCAAGACTATCATTCAGGCCATGCCAGCCCACACAATGAATGTTTTCCTTTTGCCTCTAGACATGTGCTCAGATATAGAAAGGCTTATGAACGGATACTGGTGGAACGGGCCGGAAAGAAAGGGGATTAGATGGAGAGAGTGGAGCGGGTTATGTTCACCCAAAACAAAAGGAGGTCTGGGCTTTAGAAAACTCCGAGAGTTTAACTTGGCGATGCTCGGGAAGCAAGCATGGAAGCTTTTCACGCAGCCTGATTCATTACTGGCAAGAATTTTCCAGGCAAGGTATTTCCCGAACTCATCATTTCTTCAAGCTAAATTGGGTAGCAACCCTTCTTATATCTGGAGGAGTGTTTGGGAAGCTCGAGCTGTGATTGAAGGTGGATATAGGTGGAGGGTTGGGGATGGAAAACTAATTAATGTATGGAGGGACCCTTGGTTACCAGACATGGATAACCCGAGAGTAACTGCTGCACCAGTACCTGATATGGAAGAGATAACAGTTGCCGGTTTTTTGAATAGAGAAGAAGGAGGCTGGGATGTAGACGTGGTTAATGACTTCTTTGACAAAAGAGATAGTAAACTGATATTGAGCATACCAGTGAGTAAAAGGGTTGTTCCAGATAAAATTGTATGGCCTGGGGGAGAAAAGGGGAGGTATACTGTTAAGAGTTGTTATCGGTTGCTAACAGGTGGCTTGAGATCAGGAGAGAGAGTAGGATGGACTCGTATGTGGAACTTTAATATTCCACCAAAGGTTAAAGTTTTTTTCTGGCAGCTGTGTACGAATTGTTTACCTACGTCAGATGAACTGATAATGAAAAAGGTGGCATGTTCCCAGGGGTGTGTTCTTTGTGATCAAGATAGAGAGTCAGCACTTCATTTGTTCGGGTCATGTGTGGTGGCGAAAAAGGTTTGGGAGAAACTAAAGTGGAATGTCAACGTTGATAATTATCATTTCATAACTGAATGGGCAGAAGCTTTTATCATGGCGCACCAGGAGGAAAAATGCTGCAGGTTCTTGATGCTTTTATGGAGCATTTGGCAGGCTAGAAATGAGGTTTTGTGGAAGAAGTCTCTTGCTGGTGTTGGGAGTATTATTGCAATGGCTGATGCATTCCTTGATGGATGGCGAAGGGCTCAAATGACAGCCTCAGTAGCAGGAAAAACTGCAGCAGCTCCCAAGCATTGGATTAAACCGAGAGAGGGCTGTTTAAAGGTCAACGTGGACGCTGCGGTGAAGATAGGAGGGGACTGCAGCGGGTTGGGTGGTAAGGGACTATACATGATCTTTTATTGTCGGTGGAATAAAGAGAAGACCCGGAGTTTGCCAACCTCGCGAAGCTGAAGCCCTTGCGGTAAGGGAGGCCATTAGTCGGCTTAGGGACTATGGCTTTGATTTTATTGACGTGGAATGTGACTCTACTCAGGTTATTAAGAGTATCCATGATAGTCCAGATGAATCGTCCTTCGGTGTCATTATTGATGATATAAGAGATATTATGACTAGTTTCACTAGTATTTCTATTTCTCATGTGAAGCGGTCAGCGAACCGGGTTGCTCACGATTTAGCGAGGGCAGTCGTTTCTATCTGATTGCTATATGTGGCATACCACACCTCCATATTGTATTTTGGTCTCCTTAAACTTTGATATGATCAATAATATGTAGTTTGATTTCCTTCAAAAAAATTATTCACTATTCATAAGTTGGTAGTAATGACTTTGATAACTGAGGAAGCTGGATGGGGCTGCTGAGGACATTAATTTGCCTTATTTTTTTAGCATTCATTTGTCAGCGCTTTGCCGATGTTATTGGGTTCATGACTTCATCCGGCGCACTTTACGTAGCCCATTGAACTCTTCATTTTTCCTCTCATCCCCGTCACTACTGGGATTGGTGTAGTGTACTCTCAGCTGTCAAATACTCCGTATTTGCTTAGCATCTTTCTCTTTATTAATGTGCTCTTCTTTTTTAATCTCAAAATCCCAATCTTTCCCTTTCCTTTTTCTTCATCCATTCCCACACCTCACTGCGAATCAAAAGAGACTGAAAAATATTCTCATCTATTTCTGTAAACCAATATGTCATGAAGCTCTAAAATCTTGAATAACTTCATTTCACACAGAAACATCAGATTATCTCTTCTGTACCAAATCCTTCAAGATTAATCAAATCTTTATCCTTCATCTTCCCCAGAAATGAAAAGTACATTTCTCTAAATACCCTGAATGCAGAAACTCGGTTGATTCACAACCTTTGAAAAGCCCATCACGAAATCATCAAAAAAACGATTGAGGTTTTGGGTGTACATTCGGGTACCCGTACGGATTGCGCGAGCTGAAATGCGTCGCCAGAGAAGAGGGGTGGGCATAGAGGGTTTGGTCCCCAAAGTCCGTAAAAGGGGCTGCTCATCATCTTCGTCTGCGTCTTCGAGAGTTCAGCACTACAGATTGAAGCGGGCAATTGTCGTGGGGAAGGTCCGACACGGATTGGGCGGGTCCAGATCCAGCACTCCGGTGCCGTCCTGGAAAACGTCTCCGCTTCAGAGGACTGCCGGCGACCCCCCTTCTTCTTCTCCTCAGCTGGGAACTTCTCGGCCAGTCTCGGCGAGAAAGCTAGCTGCCACTCTGTGGGAGATGAACGAAGTGCCGTCGCCGAAAGTTTATGAGGACTTGGAAAAGAGGAGGAAAAAGAAGAAGCAGCCTGGGCGGTCTGGCCCGGATTCTGTGGTTTCGGATTCTTTGCCTCCCCATTTGTGCGATCCATCTCATAGCCCGGTTTCAGAGGTGGGATTTTCAGCAGCTTCTAATGCGCAAATATGCTTAAGGCATGAGCTGATAATAATTATTTTCATTATTGTTATTATGGTTTTTATTACTCAGTATTAATTTAGGCATTCAGATAAGCAGACACTTTTACTCTCCTGGAGACTGCTTTCTCTAGACACTTTTATTGCAGTGTTTTTTTAGTTGCAGTAGTTAATGCCTAATATTTCCTGGTCTTAGGTGGAGTTTGGTTGTGAATCCATGCCCCATTAAATTTGTGAAGGGCAGGGAAATAAATTTTAAATCCTCTTTATGTTGTATATATTTTAGAGCTTCATATGAATATAAGTTATGGACCATGTTGCTGGATGTGCATGTTGGTTTTGCAATATCAATTTTACAATGCTACATGACCATAGCCATTTTAAATTATCATTGTGTCATGATATATCCCATGCAAGTTGAAAACACTTGGGATGATCACTGGTTTTTTATTTTCATCTTATCATTCATTCTACAGAAGATTGCGACACGAAGGCAATTTCATCTAAAACTTTGCCGCTGTGCTTTTTTTTACATGAATTTATAGCTTTTACTAATTTTTAGACAAAGGTGCTACATATGTTGATGATGATGGAAACAAAAGTTGATTGTTTGCTCAGTTTCGGAGTGGTCTGATTTAATGAGTTTAAATTAAACCAATTGTATTACTGAAATTCCGGTTCAGGAAAATAATGATATACTGGAAATCATGCTTTTAGCCTTTTATTGTATGTGTGTGTGTGAAACTGTGAATACTCTTAGACTTTCCACTATGGCTGTGCATTAGAGAGTTTAGATGCTATAATTAGCTTCTAAGAAATATCAGTTTGCCTCTCTCATTGGGCCCAAGAAAATGCTAGGGAAAGGAATGGAGCACCTAAGTATTTTTTTATGCTTGGTTATACCTCTGAAAAAGCAATGGAAAATTAAATACGTAGTATGATAAATGTTTCTATTTGTTGCTATGTTTAGATTTCTCCATATACATATAATAGAAATAAGTTTAAAAAGTGAATTTGAACAAATAATAAACATAAAGTTATTGAGTTTGAACCGATGTTTTAGTTTCCTCAACATTTTATTTTCTTCCAAACTTCTTCTATAGTTTTCTTCCAATTTTCGTTCCCTAGCATTTTCCAAGTTCCAAGCGGACCCCGAAAGGTTGAGTATTTTGCACTTGCTTTATTGGAAGACTGAAATCAACATTATAAATTGCTGTCAGAGTGCAATATCATTCTACTTTGTCTGTTACTTAAAAACTGAAAGCAGTGAAAGTTGGAGCGAGCTAGCTTCTAGCTACTACTACTTCGGTTAATGAGTGTTTATTTTTTAGTTGCCTGAATCCTTGGTTCATGGAGCGTCTTATGTCTTATAATGTGTTTTACAAACTTTGTCTTTTCAGATAATGAGTACAAAATAGCATTCAGGCAATGTTTAGTAAACCATAATACATTGTGATGGGATCAATTCGTTGTAGAAATGTCTACTACAAACTGGTCCCATTCCATTTCATTATGGCTTACCGATCATTTTCTTTGGAATATTTCTGATGTTTTTCTATATATTCCTCTGCATTTTAACTTTTGCTTAATCATTTTGTGTTGTGTAGAGGCGTGATCGGTCCGGAACAGGAAGTTACAATAAGAAGATGTCAACTAGTTCACACCGACCAAAGCCTATAAGCCATAATGTTGGAGCTATTGATTCTGTAAGCAGTGCCAGTCTAATGGAGGTGATCTTTATTTCCTCTTGCGCACCCAACTTGTGTATACTTTATTTACTTTGTATTTTTCTAATATCTTTAATTTGACTATTAGACAGGTGCCCGGAAAGTCCATGTTTTTCAAATTAATGAAATGCCAAGTATAATGTACAAATTCTTGTGACATTTCTTTTTTAAAGATGCCTGTTATGAATGTTTAGGAATCCATGATGCCCGGAAACCGTTATGTGGTCGCATTTCATCATATCTGAAACTTTTAAGAAACCTTTAGAACAAACCATTTGGAAAGCAGAAAATGCTATAGAGAAAAAATAGTGAGGAAAAAACAGTTCAATGTGGAAGGAAAGAAAATGTTAAGGAACATAAAATACGAGTTCAAACTCAAAAAGGTGTGTTTAATACTTATTTGAATATATATTTATTTCATATGATTTTATAAAAACTAAGCATTCTTTACATATACAAAAAAATTAACAACATTAAGCATTTTTTAATTTTCCTTTGCATTTGCCGAGGCAAATCCTAACTTAAGATTGCAATTTTCCTTGGCCTTTTTCTTTCTCTTTCATTTTACAGAATCCAAATATAGGCTTACCGTGGAATGTGGAAAATGCTAGAGGATGAAAATAGGAAGGAAATCATAGAAGAAGTTTAGAAATGAATGAAACGGTTGAGGAAAATAAATAAATGTTCAGACTCAACAAGCGTGTTTTTGTTATTTATTCAAATTCACATTTTTTATTTGTCTTATTTATATAAACACTAAGGAATTGACCTTCTATTGTTTGTCTTCCTCTTTCTCAATTTATTGTCTTAAACTCCGATGTCTTGTGTTGATTCATGTTAGCGAACCCCATACTCTTTTGGGAATAAGGGGCTTGAAGGTTTTTGTTGTTATATACGATAGTAAACACTTGAAAAATTGATGTAATAACTATATTAAGTCTGTCTTTGCATTTTCCAAGGTAACACCAACATAAGCAAACAACTCCTCTCGAGGGGCGCTGTAGGTTTACCTGGTTGTTAACTTCCAAGCTTGAGGAATTATTTGGCCCAAAATGATCATGGACACCAGCATTATGAAAAACGTTCCTTTGCATTTTCTTTGTTTTCTCTAGTTTTTTTGTTCGGTCTAAACTCTAAACAGAGCCTTAGAAACTTTTATTTCAACTGTTGTTCATTTAAGAATCACCATTTCCGGCAATATGTTATCTGTTTCACATTTCCTTGCTACTTATTAAGAACAACATAATGAGATTATTATTTTTACTTAACCAATCTGCAGATGGAGACAAGATCGCGGGCAAGTGTATCTGTGGTTGGTACAAAAACTCATTTAAAAGACATCAGCAACGCTTTGACCACATCCAAAGAGTTACTGAAAATAATCCACAGGATATGGTCAAATGCTGACCCACCATCATCTACCATGTCTCTTGTCTCGGCATTGCATGCGGAACTTGAACGGGCCCGCCTGCAGGTCAACAAGCTCATTCATCAAGAACACAAAAACTCAGATCAAAGTGAGATCAATCGTCTCATCAAGTGTTTTGCTGAGGAGAAAGCGGCTTGGAAGAACAAAGAAGAATCAGCCATTGACTCCCTTGCAACTGAACTTGAAGCTGAAAGGAAACTCAGGCGAAGGTGCGAGAACTTGAACAGTAAACTCGGGAAAGAGCTGTCCGAAACTAAAGCATCACTCATGAAAGCTGTGAAAGAGCTTGAAAACGAGAAGAGGGCAAGAGAGATGATAGAACAAATGTGCAATGATTTAGCAAGAGACATTAGTGAAGATAGAGCAGAGGTTGAAGAGTTGAAGAAAGTTCATCAAGAGTTTGAAAAGGAAAGAGAAGTGATCCGTACCAAGCCTGAAGAGAAAAATTCTGCTGTTGACAAGTTGAGGAAACAGTTAGAGACTTTCTTGGGGAAGAAGAAATCTAAAAAAAAAGGAAACTGCTGTAGAAAAACTCCAAGTGATGAAAAGGCATCTTCTTGTATCAATAAAACTCCTATCACCCTCCACCACCATAATCTGGAGAAAGAAGACAACAGGGAAGAAGAGTCAGCCGAAAGTGATCTTCACTCCATTGAACTAAACATGGAAAACACGAATAAGACCTCCCAAGGCACTTATTATCCTGCCATTGGCCGTCCGTCTAAGAGAATCTCAGTTGATGAGATGAAAGTGAGAAGCTCTCTTACCGGGCAGGTCCCTAGAACCAACACTACACTTCTAAGGAGAATTTCTGATTCAGTTGAGTGGGGGGATGGGTCAAGCCATGGGTCAGATTGGGAGAGGCTCCAAGAACTGGAGAATCTCGGTAAAACATATGCTTATGCAGAGGAAATTCAAAGAATAAAAGCAATGGCAGGCATGAAGAACCATTCTATACCAGTCTCCAGTCCATCTCGGCAGTGGGACTTACCACGGTCTTCCCGAGATTCTTTAGGGACAGGTGTTGAAAGAACGAGCTTTGCTCATGACTGTGCTGTGAAGTCTAGGCTTGGTGTTGGAAGATCTAAACGGTGAGTCTGATCATATGTTAATTGTCAATATGGGGCGAGAAGTTTTTGGTGTTGAACTGATAAGGTGTCAGCAATCAGAACAGGGATGCATCAAAGTATATAACATCTCCAAATGAGTCGGCATGATGTTGCTTTATGCTATAAAGCCCGCATCTTGATTAACATGAATCCTTGTTTCTTTATCTAATTTTATTTTTTGAGAAATGTTTGAATGAATAGCAGCTTCTGTAGAAATGTGTTGTGCTAATTTTCTCTTGGTTGTCCTTGTGTAACAATTCCACAAGTATAGTAGATGATTATGCTTTTCTGTCAAGAAAAAATATGCGTTTATATCTACCATGCAATTGCACAACCTGGTCAAATCCTCGTTTTCTACCTGACATATGAGTAAGCGAGGATTTGTCTCTACAACTTGGTGCAATTGCACGCACATTTCCCAAAGATGCACTTTTTATGATGATGCATCTTGAGAAACTGGGTATTTGGCTGGTATAGTGATCATATTTTTTCTTTGGACATGGTAGTGGTCATAGAAGAAACAAATGGATGATATCCATTGTTTCTGGGAAAAATAATTAAAATACTCCAAACTTTGAAGTTGTATGAGACACCCCAAACTTGCATATGCAATTTAAATATCCTAAATTGTACTAGTATATAAAAAGTTATTTTTGCACCATAATGCTTAAATAATACAATTAACACCATAAATTTATATTTTTGAAAGAAATAATATATGACCATGGTGCTTAAATAACTTTTTATATTCCGTATAAAGTTTGAGGTATTTAAATTACATATGAAAGTTTGAATGTTTACCACACACCCCTTCAAAGTTTGAGACATTTTAATTATTTTTCCCTTTTTTCCTGACAAACTACTAGGTCACTCCTAATTTTAGTGTTCAATGTCCATATATTGTTCACTTATGGTCAACTTTCAATTCATTTTTGTGCAGTTTCCGGTTGCTATTTCAGGGAAAAGTAGTCAAAAAGACCTTACTGTAAAAAATATCTATAGTTTTGGGATCAAAAGTAGTGAAGTAAAAGTTGACAACTACTCCGTATTTAACAAATTGTTATAAACAAATTGTCCTAAATGGGGCTAAAACCTGGTTAAAACTTCAAAATAGGACTTGAAGTTTTAAATCGCCTAAATAGGGCTCTAGATTACATTTTTACTCCTAATCCCTAAATCACCTTTCCCCAATCCCTCTGCATCGATCGTGAGACTTGCGATTACAAATTCCCCTTGCGACTCAGTTGCCATGGACGCAGCTCAACCTCCGTCGATCGCAACTCGACCTGCTATCATTGCAGTTGCCTGCTCGCCGCCGCCCGCCACCTCTTCAACAATTTCTCCAACAAAATCAGGTCCCCCTCCCCCTCCTCACATTATTTTTGTTTACATACACACATATGGTTCCAAATCGTCTTTAATTATGAGTGTCGATATAAAATAAACTATGTTTAATTTATACTCCCCTCTCGGAAGTAGATCCAAACTCTGAGTTTTGACCGATTGAAAAGTAACTACACTAGAATTAAATATTAACTGAGTGCCCGAAATGAGAAAAATGGAATAAGTTATTCTCAATATTTCAAGAAAAAGTATATTGCCATGACCTTTCAACCCAAAATATCCCTTGCGTAGATCAATCTCTGCTCCACTTGCAAATTACAATACATGGTTCGCATTTTCCCCAAAGATGTTAAATTCACGCAGAATATATATCTTATATATCTGCACAAAATAATTTAGTGTAAAAGTAAAATGGAAATATTCCCTGTTTAGAATACCCCGTTGGAAAATATTCCATTTAAGTGTCATTGGACCATTTATATAATTTTGTATATATTGGAGAAATTTATGTTTTACCATTAAATTTGTCATATGACAGATTTGATCCCTATATTTATGTAAAATTAACATATGATGGGTATGTTTTTTTAACATTAAATAATACATAAAAGATCAAATTAATGAGTTTCACTTTGATACAAACATATATGCTCGTTCAGTTCCCATTCTTACGACAAAAGGAAGAGACACACACCTCTTCCTAAAGGTCTCAAGAACACCATTATAAAGAGACTCAAATGAGAACCGATCAATCCATCGCAAGAGAAGTTTTGTATCCTTAGAGAATCCAAAAACATCATGTTTTCATCATCTTCTACAACACCATCAACATTTGGATTCTTCTCAACCGATTAGTGTTCTTATATGTTTGATTCTCTTAATTTTATTATGTTTGTGATATTAGATCCTTATTTGGGACTGAATTTTCTCAACATACATTTGGAAAAGTACACAATTTATAATTTTAATTTGGCCAAGATATACAACATAAAACTATTGTTCAAAAATCAAAATGAAGCATAGTTGGGAAAATACCAAGATTGGTCTAGCTTTGTAGAGAGAGGGTGTGGTACTCACTACCCCTCTACTTCAAATCCAGTTAGATGCAGAAAATGAAAAGAAAGAACATAGGTAAAATGAAAAGAAAGAACATAGGTTATTGTATTGATGAGACGCAATCAGGTCTTAAAGCAAAGTTGGAAGTATGGCGAGAAACATTGGAGAACAAGGATTTCAGACTAAGTCGGAGCAAGACAGAGTACATGAAGTGAAAGTTTGGTGGAGGTAGAAGCAGTGGGAATAACGGAATTACTCTAGATAATAAGGAGATACCGGTCAATGATATGTTCCGTTACTTGGACTCCATAATTTAGGAATAAGGTGAGTTAGATGGAGATGTATACCATAGAATTAGAACAGGGTGGATGAAATAGAAGAGCGCGTCAGGATTTCTATGCGATCGAGGTATCCCGATTAGACTGGAGGGTAAATTTTATAGGATAGCAATTATGTCTGCATTACTGTATGGCGTAGAGTGTTGGACGGTGAAACAATTTCACATTCAAAAGATGAGTGTGACACAGATGCACATGTTGTGTTGGGTGTGTGAGCATACTAGGAAGGATCGCGTGAGGAATGAGACAATCAGACACTGGGTGGGAGTAGCACCTATTGAAGACAAGATGCGCGAATCGCGCCTACGGTGATTTGGTTATGTGCGTAGAAGACCGAGTGATGCACCTGTCAGACGAGTTGAGATGTGTGGAGAAGAGTCAGGGAAGAGAGGGGGAGCAAGGCCCAAACAAACGTGGGTTAGGGGAGTTCGAGCAACGAGCTCCTCTGGCAATGACCTCCTTTAATTATATTTATCGATCTCCTTGACATCAGCCTCTTTAGCTATCACTCCCTCTCCAACACGGTTGTTGTCGCGCCGTGGTGTCTTTAGTAACCACTAGTGCCTCCCCTGACAGGATTGGTGTCGACCTCTTTCCTAGAGAGACTTCTAGAGTACTGACGTGCACTTTTTCACGGTGCGTCAAAATAAATTCAATACTAGCACTAATACGTAGTATAGTGAAGTAGAGTTCGTATCCACAGGGAAAGGAATAACTCTCTTTTTATATAACTAGTAAATAAAGGGGGGTTTTGATTGAGTGATTTGATTAAAATTAAACACGAAGATGAACGAGTTATATGAGTTTTAATTCAAAGATAAAAGGGACTTGGCATTGCTACTTTCCACTTGTTGATATATTTTAGTCGATCATTGTTATATCTATAACTTATCTCCTCTCGAATACTCAATCGAGGAGTATATCCAATTCATCGAGGATAGTTATTAACAACGACCGTTCATTAATAACCCTTACTATTAGTCAAGTATAGAACAACGCCATATACTGACTTGATAGTAGCATTTAATCTTTTAACTCCTTGATGAAATCAATTGAGATTGATAACCTTAACACAACGGTTTTGGTTTAACCAACAAAATTAATCCCTCTTAAGTTTATTAACCACGACCGTGCATTAATAAACCGAAGTTACTTACTTGTGAAGCTATCAACGATTAACCATCGGTTCGTTGATCATTTCTAGTAATAATTAATATGTGAAACAAAACTAGTTGATCCTTTAAGTAATGTTCAAAATATTAATATGAAATATGAATAGGGATTAATTAATACTCAAGGAAGAATATTAAAGAAAATGAATCCTACTAAAGTTAATATCAAGATGTTAACTAATTGTCATCTTAGTAACACTCCCCAATATTAACATAGAGGAAGGAATAGCTATTACTAAGACCAATGTCAAGATGATAACTAATTGTCATCTTAGCAACACTCCCCAACATTGATATAGAAATAGTATTTAAAGGAAGAATTAATATTCAAGGAAAGAAGTTAAGAAAATAACTCACAACTTTAATAATCAACAAGCTTCAAGAGCAACACAAAGAAATGGAAGTTTAGCTCCTCATTTGGAGACTAAACATGCTAAAAGAAATATAAAGAAATGCTATTCTAAATTGAGCTTAAGAGTATAAAGGAATTGGTATCTAAAAGTGAAGGAAAGGAGGTGTATTTATAGGCTTTTTTGAGGTGCAGGTCGGGTACTCGATCGAGTATATACATATACTCGATCGAGTATGTGTAGAAACTCGAATTCGATCCATACTCGATCGATATTCGAGTAGAATTCATAGCTATACCCGATCGAGTATGTCGGTGTACCCGATCGGGTATAGACACTCGATCGTGGTAAAATCTTCCCTGCATGTTCCTTTGTTTTCGGATCCGATCCGATTTGAAATTTCAACAAGATACCCGATCGAGTATAGGTAATACTCGACCGAGTATAGACCAAAATCAGGATCTTCCCTTTTTGTCTTGTGATTTTGCACCTTCCTTCCACTTTTGGGGTTCACCAACTGTCCTTTGAGTGATGGTAGACCTGTTTGAGCTCAGAATAAACCTAATCTAAACAATTTACAAGAATTTAACAAACTAAACTATTACACCGAAAGTGTGTAATTTCCGAAATATTAAACAACCAAAACTAACTAAAAACGTAAATAAACACACGGAAATTACAAACGTATCAAGTACGTCTCATGTTAGCATTGGAATGTCATCGTAATGGTATCATTGTTACATCCTTGTGATGGATGGCAATTTGATATTGAAAAGAAACGAAATATTGTTTTTTTCATTGACGTAGTGCCATAAAATGACCATATTTGCCAACTCAGAATGAAACAACATGGCATTAAAATTTTTGCATTTCTGACATACTGGTATTGCGATTTTGAAATGGCATTATTTTTTGAATTAACATTTTTGTATTGGAAATGCCTGAAAAAATAATAATTTCAAATTTTTAATGAAAATTATTTAAAATAAGTAAAATTCAAAATATTCAGATAATCGATTGTTGGAGTCT